AGTGGAACACATTATTCAGCACTAAAAAAATACTGATCAAGCTATGAAAAGACACAAGGGAAACTTAAAAGCACACTGATTCAGAAAAGCCAACCGGAACCTACATACTGAGTAAGAATAGTTAATGGTCAGCAATCAGAAGTGATGGGCCCAGTTGAGGTTTTGTTCAAATGCAGAGACCACACCAGGAAGCTAATGGTAGAAATACTATTGTGCAAGGCAAGATCTATTTCAAATGTAAAAGACCATGGGGCTCCTCTGTGGGAACACTCCAGCCAACTCCTTTGTCCCAGAGAGGCAGAAAAATGGAGGGTGGGAGTGAACCCAGATGGGAGCTTCAGGAAGGATTAAAACTCAAGCTAAAGGACGCAGCCAATACTTCTTCAGTGCCTGTTTAACATAGATTTTACTCCATGCTCTACTCAAGACCATGTAAGCCCCTAAGCTAGCACACCTAAATGGGTTTTCTGCCCTCTGTCCCCCTCCCGCAACTCGGAAGTTCTCCCTCTTCTCACTTAAGTAAATCCTGTTCCATTTACTCTTCCCTTCCTTTATTGTCCGTGGATTTTATTCTTCAAATTTGCAAGACAAGACCCCAGAAGGAAATTGGTGAAGCAGGGAATCTGATTTCATCTCAAAACTCCAGTTTCAATATGATTGAAATATAACATTCTGGCACACCGTGGGTAAGCTAGTCGGTGGTTATCAGGGGTTGGAGGTAGGAAGAGATAAACAGGTGGAACACAGGGCATTTTAAAGGCAGCAAAACTACTATAATGGTGGACTCATGCCATTGTACAGACATTTCACCCACAGAATGTGCATTACCAAGAGTGAAGCCTAATATAAACCATGGACTTGGAAAGATACTGATGTCTTGTCAACAGTTGTAACATATGTCTGGGCTGGTGGGATATGTTGATAATGGGAGGTGCTATGCATGTGTGGGGTCAGGTAGCACAGAGGAAAGCTACTCCCTATTCAATTTTTCTATGAACCTAAAGCTGTTCAAACAAATAAAGTCTATAAAAAAATACAAGCAAAATCCTGCAGCATGGAAGAAGCTACACACCTGTAGGAAAATCTTGAAACCTAGAAAGAGTCATATGGCAGAGAGTGTTTGGGTGGTAACTGAAGCGGGAGGAAGGCGGAGGGAATCCTGCAACAGAAGGCCCAGCCTCAGAGAGCATGTGGAGGAAGTGTACTGTTCTGTGCTGGCACAGAACTGGTGCAGAGGCAAGATTCAGTGTAAAAGGGGTTTCTTTTCACTTATATCATCCTAAAACTTCAAGTGGCTAAAAGTAGAAGCTCTGGAAAAAAAATGTCCCTGCAACAGTATAGCAGAATTGAAAATTCAGAGAAAATGTAGGTGGAATTTTTTTTGGCCAAAGACAATAGGAAAGAATGTTCGAGAGGATCTTGAGAAGAAATAGTAAAGCTGTGTTCACATCCAGGCATCCAATAAACTCTTGACTTTCCCTGATGCTAATTCTGGAGATAAGGAAACTGAGCCCAAGTTAGTTTCAGACTACCTAGGTAGTAGGTGAAGGCAGGGCCCTATCTATCATGGGACTTAAAATCCCTCTTCCTCTCCTACCCTATCCACCCTATGCCTTTTATTTGAAATAGAAGAAGCCTGCTGAACCCAAAGAGTGGTGATGGATGAATCTTGGCCCAGAATTTCAGGAAGAGACTAAACTGATTGTCCAGAGCCCTGGGCCAAAGGCTGCTTCAGAAGATATGGTGCTCAAACAGAAACCAGATGACCACTAATAGAGAGGTGAGCATCAGTTTCGAGTAGGAAATGGTGGTGAGAAAGGGAGAGGGTGGCATGTAGACACAGTACGTTTCTGGTTTTTTCCTATCACGCAATCTGAAGATGACGTCATGAAGACGAGAAGGAAGCTATGAACAGCCAAGCATCCTAATCACATTTATTCCCAACTAATTTGTGCAGACGTCTGTTTCTTGCCGGTTCTTCACGCTGCCTGCACATTAGCTCCCTAGGGAGTTTCTGGAGAGTGGGAATGCCTGGGATTGCTTCCCTTAACTTAAAGATTCTCATACCTGTTTACTTAGAAAGATCAGACTTCTTCCTCTTCACATCAGGGCTTCATTTGCCTGGCTTTGCTGTGACAGAGATAGCTCCATAATTTTCAGTCATTTATTAGTGTATGCACCATTGTTGGAGTGTGTAGGCATGTACTCTCAGAGTTGTGTTTTTGCATAAGATTAACACATTGATTGCCAAAAGGAAAGGGGTAGAAGGGCAGGGCTACAGCCTGTGGGTTAGGAACTCAGAGGTCTTACCACTAACCTCTTAAAAAAATCAAAAGCAAAATCTGAAGCTTATCCCATAGTAGACACATTGTGGTTCTGATGGAAATCTAAATAGATCTTAAACACGGTGTAGTAAATGTCATTTAATTTCTTTATATGCATCCTCTTAGAACACAGTGAGGTCTCTATGGACCGTCCCTAAACCAGATGGTGTCCTGAAATGTGATTTTTATGCTTTTGTCCACTTTTCAGTGGTATCACCTGTTTGGCAGGGGTCCAACAGGCAACTCACCATGATGTGTCTAGGTTGTAAAGAAGAAAACACAGTTGCCTAATTGGGTGAGAAACCAGTCCCATGGCATCAAAAGCAGCCAGTAAGAGGTTCTATCTGATGGATAAATGACCAGCTCTGATATGGTTCTTGGTTGTGTTCCAGATATTGAGGCTAAACTGAGATTCCCAGAGAAAAAGAGCTTGCCTTTACCAACTCCTATCACTTCCACTTTGTAAGGACCAACAGCATCAAAGGGGTAAAAAAAGAAAATCTTTTTAATCAATCATAATTAAATGGCACCAGCCGAGCCACATTAGGACTCAGGTGTCTTTGCAAAGCTCAATTCAGAATGTTAGGCATGTTCAAAGAATTCCCCAAAAGCTCAACCATGTTAAGAGCCCTTTTTTTTATGTTAACCAACTACAGAACTCAAGATGATGATAAAATAATAAAGTATTGACCCAACATTTTAAAATTCTATTTTTAGTTAAGGGCAGAAAAAAAATCTATTTTTCTTAAGAAAACCATTTATTAAAGGGCACAAGAAAATAGTGTTTTTAGAAAGTATTCTGTAAATATTTTTTTCCTTCACTTTGCTGATTTCAACAGGATGGGGCCCATTATTGTTGCAAAAGCCTATTTAGTAGAGAGAAAGGATTAGAGGGCAGGCTGCCCCCAGCGGAGTGCTCCTGCTGGTCTTTTACTGAATCAGAGGCTCACTGGGGAAAGGGACTGTATGGGTGTGTAATATGCCACAGACTTACACCAAAAAGGAAAAAAAAAGTACTCCAGGTAACATTTATTGTATACTTGCCAAGCACTGTGCTAGCAGTATTTAGTGTATTATCTACTTATTATTCATGACAGTCTAGTTTGGCAAATATAGTTCTTATCCCCCATTTAAAACTAAGGGAAGGTAAGTCGCTTGCTTGAGACTGCCTAAGTAGTTGTTATGATATAGAGTGTGCCCCAGAGACTTGTGTGATGAAGGCTTAGTCCCCAGTGCAACAATGTCCAGAGGTAGATCTTTTGGAAAGGGACTGGATTGCAAGGACTCTGACTTTATCAGTGGATTAATCCACTGATACTTGACTGGACTGCTGGGAGGTGGGTGGAGATTGTAGACAGTGGGACCTGGTTGAAGGAAGTAAGTCACTGAGGACAAGCCCTGGAAGGGTACTTCTTGTCCTGGGCAATTCTCCTCTGCCATGCCCCTCCACCATGATGTTCTGGTCATCTCAGGCCCAGACAACGCAGCAAGCTGGTCATGGACTGCAACATAAATCAATTCTCCTCCAAGTTGTTTTTTCTCAGGAATTTGTCACAGAGACGGAAAGCTGACTAGCACAGTAGTTGAAACTTTTACAGATTCTAAATTTTTGAAACCGAATTAGAACCTAAAAGAATGAAGCGGCTTTGTGAGGCCTGACTGGCTGGATGTCCATGTCCTGTAGTTCAATGAAAAGAAAACATTTTTGTAAAACTGAGAAATCTATTTTAAAACACCCCTGGCCACCTTTTTATCCCCCTAGTACTTCGCGGTGTAGGCACCAGTGGCCTTAGCATCACCCAGGAGCAAGGCAGAAATGCAGAATGGCGGCCCAGACCTCCTGAGCTGGAACCTACTTAGCCATTATCAAGGGATCTGCATACTCTGGAGAGCTTGAGGAGCCACTCAAGCCTGCCACCAGCTTCCCCTCTCAGGGCTCTGCCCTTGCTGGAAGGCTCTTCAGGACTGACGGGCCTCACTCTCTCTCATGTCTCTTTAGGTCATCTTTCCTCACCTCCATATGAAAAATAGCATCTCTGTCACCCTCTGTCTGTTTACCCCAATTAATCTTCCTTCATAGCAATGAGCACTACTTAAAATCATAGATTTACTATTCCTTCCACCCACTGCACTGTGACCTGAACTAAGACTGGGACTTTGTACCTCCAGCACCGAAGACAGTGAGTGGCTGGGATGTAAGTGCTTGCTAAATATTTGAATAAGAGACTATCTTTGATGCAGGACTATCTATAGTATAAAGACCTCACTTAACAGCAGAGATCCCTGGGAAATGGAAAGGAAAATGCCCCTTCACCCTTTTGTAGTTTTTTTCAAAGGTGTACAAACTGCTTTTCCAATTTATTAAATGCTTTCAAATAATGGAACAATCCATCTCAAGATATATCACCAGAAAATCAGAGCAGATTCCTTCCTTCTAAAAAGTTTTAGGAGTTATGGTCAAAATGACACCTTAATAAACACGGAGCCATGTCCTTTGATGAGCCTACTTGTTTCCATCAGAAATGCCACTAGGTGAAGCTGGGAGTTTATTGAAAGTCAGACATTATGACTATAGCACGTGGATTGGGCCTTGTCCCTCAAACTTGGCTTCAAGTGACTACCACAACAGCAGAGAGACTGAGCAGATTCCAATCACAGTCCACAAAGAAAGCCATCTTCACTGATGAATCATTTATTTGGACAAGACAAAAACGTCTCCACAGGGTTTCCTTTTATACAGAAAGTGGAACATTTCAAATATATTAGTTTTTCGACAGAATTCATTTCAATCTGGTCCCAGGAACTGCTGCACACATTAGGATTCACGTTTTAGTAACACGTATGCGCCCATTACAGCCAAAAGAGCGTACTGTGAACAGAAACAAAATGGAAAATTACTGAGGTCTACAAATAAATTTGGCTTATGAACTTAAAAGGTAAAAACAGCTATTTTAAATAATAAAATGTATTCAGATAAAGTCTAAATAAATAATAAAATGTATTCAGATAAAGTCTGTTCAATACTGGAGTGATGACAGAATCAAAAGATGACCTCTTCCCTGGTGGCTTGTTCTCCAAATTAGCTGTTCAGTGCATGATATGGTTAAAGGCCCCCAAACAGGTCAAACGCTCGACACACAGACAGTGCAGTGCTTGTACCAATGCAGGACTCCTATTTCTTTTCAAGTGATTTTTAAAAAAAAATAGAAATAATGTTTCTGTTGAAGTTGTTAGATAAACATCACTGGGTTTATTGTCCTACTTTTTTGTATGTTTGAAAATTTCCATAATAAGTGACAACTATATAAGTGCCATTTTAGAACACACTGTGAATTTAAAAGGTAAAAGCAGCTATTTTAAATAATTAATTTAAATGTTAATTTAAGTGGTTATGTTAATTTATAGTTAATTACAAATACTCTGCAGAAAAATTAATGGCAAAATAGCTAAAGAAGATGACCTCTTTACAGTTGTACAAGTAAAAGCTCCAATATTTAAAAATGAATAGGCACAGACACACACATAAATTCCTACCTTAAATTTTGGATAGTCATTCATTATTATGGTGACCATACCAACATATGGTAAAAACCTAAGTTGTGGGAATAAAAAGGAAGAAATATATAAATTTATGTTTATAATGAGGATAGTGACATTTGACACACCGTGTATCAGCCTTAGGAACACATCTTCCATGGACACACCACTGACTGGAGCTGTAGGGACAGCATTCACCCCTGTCTCACATGTTTTATCAGAAAAACGCATCAGAGCTAATAGCTGGGACAACTGTCTCAAGCAAGCACGGATTTGACCTAGGAATGGCACAAGTCTTCATCTGCTACACTTAAGATCATCAGTTGAACCGTATGTTCATTCAGAATAGGCAACTTCCACAAATCTTATTTTTTCAGAGGAAAAATAAGTTTCAGGTGGCCAATATGAAAATTACTGTTAGATAAAGCTTTAAGGCACATACATAACTAGTCTGTACTTTAAAAAAATATTTTCATTTCAGTGCTTTTCAGATTAACAAATACATTTACTGGGCAGTGAATACAAATGTGAATGCCATAACCTATATGCAAATATGATTATGATCCCAGAGAGACCAAGTTCACAGCTGGTGATTATGCCGACCAAATTAATATCAATATGGAATCAGGTCCACCCAGTCTCATCATCCCTACTAATGGGAAACAAGCTAACACACCTACAGTACCCTCCAGTCAGAAGCATCCACCTCTCTCTGGTCCAGAGCCTTTCACCAGAAATACAGGGAAGATGACCTGAAATTCTCCTCATCTCCCCACAGATACTTGGTAATGCAACAGAGTGGTTAAAGGGATAGCAAGAGGTCTTAAGCCACAACCTGATTAATAAAGCTACCTCTCACACAACTGTGGCCCGTGTCTCCAGCATAACACAGCTATGAGACCCAGAAAACAAGAACACATTTCTAACAAGGTTAAATATAAAAAGGATCATTGAAAGGGGAAAAAAATCTCCTTTTTTTAAAATAAGAAGATACAACTGGGCACAGTCGTTCATGCCTGTAATCCCAGAGCCTTGGGAGGCCTAAGACTGGAGGATCACAAGTTCAAGGTCAGCCTTGGCAACTTAGCAAGGCCCTAAGCAACTCAGTGAGACCCAGTCTCTAAATAAACCTCAAAAGGGCTGGGATATGGCTCAGTGGTTAAGTCCCCTTGGATTTAATTCCCAGTACTCCCACCCCCACCAAAAAAAAAAGATACACACTTGCTGTGTCAATTAGTAGCAGAACTCACTGCTGGAACAATCATATAAAATTAATATTAAAAGATTTATCAAGAACTGTTTTCAGGCTGGGCGTGGTAATCCCAGTGGCTTGGGAGGCTGAGGCAGAAGGACTGAGAGTTCAAAGCCGGCCTCAGCAAAAGCAAGATGCTAAGCAACCCAGTGAGATCCTGTCTCTAAATAAAATACAAAATAGGGCTGGGGATGTGGCTCTGTGGAGTGCGCCTAAATTCAATCCTCAGTAAAACAAACAAACAAAAAAACTGTTTTCAGTGGGGAAAATAGATATGACATCATTTAAATGTCTGCCACACCCCAGCCCAAAAAAATGTCTACCAAAATATGCTTGGTTATAAAAGCTATCATTATCAATAGCACAGCATGTAGCCATGTAAAAAAATGGAGTCATAGGTTTAACACAAAAAAGTTTTTCCCACTTCCTTCTAGGTAAAATTATATATGCATCCACACACACCTGTTAGGCACAAAGTATCCAGAACATTCACCAAAATGTTAAGCAGTGGTCATCTCTGGGAGGATTAATTGTAATTTAAAATTCACAAAAAATTAATCCCTATGTGAGGATATGATAGAGAGTTAACCCATGATGAAAATAATGTACTTGGTTTTAGATCCTAGAGAGTTCTAAGTTTTCTTTGGTCTTCACAGTACACACCAGAACTACTAGAATGCTCCTGACACGCCATATTTGCAATGAATGATTCTATTATCCTCTAAAGGTAGTTTCCTTCTAAATATTTTCCTGGCTCCTGAACTGTCTATACGTCTTAAAAGATGGTGCTCACCCTCGTGCTCTTCCCACCACGTCCTTCTTTTCCAGCCAGTTCTGACCTTCTTTGTATAAGCCTCTATCATCAACTTCATTATTATCTCCTTTAGTCAAAAATTTGATGTCTCCATTATCTCTGAAAAGCAAAATGATGTACTCTCAAAAATTATTTTTAACACAGCACCATTAAAAAGAATTAGTTCACATATAACATTAAGGTCAGACATGAGCAGACATGAGAAAGCAGCTGAGGAATGCTTGATCTTCCATTGATCTAAGATGACTGCTTACAGACAGACATTCAGATGAAGCACAAATATAATGAAAATTCTGTGGTTTAGATTCTAAAACACTCAAGTAACCCTGACAACCAGGAAGCACGGCAGAGCGCCAGGGATGGGGAAGGCAAGGACTGGCTTCTAGTACAGCTACACTTCTTGCCTCACGCCTTCTTGGAAGGAAGGAAAGGCTAGCATCTAACCTGTTTTTCAATCTGGTAATAAGGGTATTCATCGGTGGGCAAAACATGTGAACAACCCCTGTGCAATTCTTTCAAATCCAGATTCACAGCACACTGAGATGCTGCTCAGGGGGAGCTTCTCCAGGCTTGATCCAGTCACTCATCTTGAGTCAGACTAGGTCAGAAGTCAGGACACGAGGCTGATTTAAAAAAGGGGTTGAACCTTAACTCTTTCTATTTCTTCTTAGACCTCATGAGCCAATTAGTCAACATGGATTATATTATTTTTCACTCTAGACATAAATTTGGTCCCCAAAATTACTTGACTTGAGCAGAAAGTAAATCTAAAAGCAACTATGCTCTTTGCTGCCCTCAAACTTTCCCTTGTCAAGCACAGGATGTATTAATGCACACTTCCTTCACCACTGAGCAAGCCGGTGTAAAATCCTGTTGGCAAGGAAATGAGAATCACCATGGATGTGATTTGTTAGGCATTCTAAACTGGCGCTTAGGTGGCCTTGATGCTAAAACACAGAACCATACAGTCTGGTGCTGTAAAGAAGGTGGTCCTTCAATAAGGCAAATGAAAAAACATACCATTATAATGAGATAAAATATTTAAAGCCCACAAAGAATTGAAACCATGTCCAAAAGAGCGTTTTGACTTACAGTCATGGTTATACAGGAAACTGAGAAGATAAACTCCTGGCACTTCTCACAATTCATGCAAATTAAAACCAGTACCATTTCCTCAACTTTGAAATGTCTCATCTTCAGAAATTATTTTTAAATCAGGTGAGAGTACTGCCACGTCATGACTGAATGTGCTTCTTCCTCAGCAAGTAACAAGTAGGCAGCACCAACCACTGAACAGCACCAGTGCAGGGACACTAATGAAAACGGAGGGTCCCGATGTTCAACACAAAGTGCACTGAACATGTTAAGTACCAATGTCTTTGGGGACACCTGGAAGCAGTGAATGAAATGAGAATCTAATACCAGAAGTACACAAATAGTTTCTCTCTCTCTCTCTCTCTCTCTCTCACACACACACACACACACAGAGAGAGAGAGAGAGAGAGAGAGAGAGAGAGAGAGAGAGAGAAATGTTCCATTATTTAAAAACACATATAAATACCTAAATATAATTCTATAAATCATGTAGATAAAAATTCTACACTAAGCTACAAAAGGGAAATGAACAAACAAGTATATAAAATGCTAGATTTTCAACTGTCTCCTGGAAACTTTCTATATTTGAACTAGAGGTAAATGTTTGGTTCCAAAAAGGAAACCAGACCTTATTAAGGTCTGAAGTCCTCCCAGCACCTTAGGGAAAGGCAAGGCTGTCTGTAGGAGAAGAATTAGTGCAGGGTATGCCATGACCAAATAATGAGGCAAGATGGGGAAAGGAATTTTTATCCATCTAGGGCTATTAATACTGCTGAAAATGCCACTTTGGACAAATGTACAGAGAAACAGCTAGCTTTCTTGCACTTCAGAAAATAATTCTTTATCAAAAGAATCCTGTTACAATGTGATTTGATCCTGTTCAAGACTCCTTCAAATAACTAATGTAACACATTCCACCTAACATTTGTGTAGTGATTTGACTTTTTAGGTGCTTTTGTGAACATAAGTTCATTTAATTCTCATAATCACCATATGAGTTATTGTGGGCAAAATATTATCACTCTTGCCTTACAAACTGAGGCGGCTGGTCCAAAGTCATTTGGTTAGTAAACGGCAGAACTAGGAACATAACCCAATGCTTTCACTACTTTTTAATCCACCATCTACCAAAATTTACAAAAACAAAAGAAGAAGAAAGGCCTCTTTACTTTTCATGAACTTTGATTACTCTGTGAACTATTGGAATGTCTCGTCCTTCAACTTTAAAAACGACTATTTCACCAGCTCTAATGGGGTCTTCCCGGAAATTTGTGAGGAACAGAAGGTCTCCCCGGTGAAAGGCCGGCTCCATGCTGCCACTGGAAAGAAACACAAAAGTGAACATCAGTGTCACCCAGTGTCCAAAAGGGAATGATGACAAACTTACCAGTCAGAGCTGAAATTCCCATCAACAGTCTGCAAGTCTCAGACACTCTAAAGGGAGCCCAGTGGTTTCCTTCCTGCTCTGGAGACAGGATGAGAGAGGATACAGTTTCTACCTAGCTTGCGTCAGGCAAGGGTCCCAACAGGCCCCTCTGCAGTTTGCATCAGGGAAGAAAAGAACCAAGGAGAATGTGGACTCTGCACAGTAAAAGCTGCCGGTTTGAGCCTTCAACAAGCCCTACCTCTGCCAATCGGGGACTCCTCACTCAGAACTTTAGGCCAGGACCCACTGGCTAGTGCCTTAGGGCAATTCTTTCATTCCTGGATACCCCAGCACCCAGGACAATGTTACTTGTTTAAGAAAAGAAAAACAGAAAAGTGACTAAACCCTAGGGAGCAGGACCTGTCCTACAGCCTTGCTGAGGGTTGGGACAAAATTTGAACCCTGGTCTTGCTTCCTGCAGCAGCACCCTTCCAACCAGGTCCTTCCTAAAAAGGCCCAGTGTTAATAAGGACTGACTGATTTTGATGTGGAGGTCAACAGATAATCCCCACGCTACCTGTTCAAACTCATGCCAAAGCGTTTGGTGGATATAAAGTGAGCTGCAACCTACTGGAAGCTGGAATTTAAAAACTGGATTCATTTCCACATGCTCCTGCTTTGTTTTAATGTATGAGAAAAGAATAAGACCTAGAAGTGTGCCTGGACTGGGAAGGTGGCCGATCAGCAGACAGCAACACCGGTCTAGCTGGAAAGAAAGGGGAGGAAGCAGCGGGCTGCCAAGGCCACAGAAATGGCCTCAAAGGCAAGCGCAGCACAGGAGGCTGCCCTCCTCTCCATTCCTCCTGCCCCCCTGAACTTCCAGGGGGTGCAGAATGCAGGAGGGAGAAAGGCCTATCCCGGAGCCCCTGCTGGGAGCTTTGTTTTAAAATGAAACTGAGGCAGGATAGAAGAAATAAAGAGAGGGGCAGAGAGGAGACAAAAGGAAGGACGAGGATTATAACTTTAAAGTCCTGCGGCATACCTTTCTAGGCCTGTCACTCTCCAAGTTAGTTCTTCTCCCAGGCCTGTCACTTCTAAAGTTCTGGGAAATCTATAAATCTTAATTACCATAAACTCACCCACTTATGAAAACTATCTTGTGTACTGTTAATTAGCTATATAGTAAATATATTAAGCAGAGAGAGACAATACTTTAAGAATCGTATAATGTAGGGTACTTGCCAACATTATCTACTGATGGATAACAGAGACCATGTCAAGCCTAAGGATCCCGAGAATTGTCAGACCACCATAAACCATCTTGAGACCACCAGGCTGACGTCATCCTCACATACCTTCCATGCCCACTCCTCACCAAGTAACTTTAAAAGAGCCGGAAAACCCCAAAACATCTCCCACTCTCAAGATGGCCTGCATTCTCCCTTGAACTTGCACTCCTTACTTTACCCCCCTCTTGAGGGACCCACATTATCTCTTGAACATGTCTCTGCTTTCCTAACTAAATCTCCCTACCTCAACTGACACATCCTTAAATTCATTTTTGTGATGTTTATCGAGAGCCCCCCGTGTTCTAAGTTGAGGTCCCCCTCTCCAAGAATTTCTCAGACCTCCTCCAGTGACAAAACCAGTTGCCCCTGAGATAGACACCAGATCAGCACTCAAAACCAAGAAATCTGAATAAAAAGGGAGAAGATAAGCAACAGGAATGGCTAAAAGGGCAAGAAAAAGAAAATATCTGAGCAAAACAAATATGGGTGTTTTCTTTTGTTCCCCAACATGGAATTTTATTTTGTCTTCTTCTGATAATGACTCAAAATTGCTTCAGGGTTTTGTCTTCTTTTAAAGAACAGCAGCTAAACTACTCAAGATGATTTCTTGAGATGGCTTCATCTCTACTCCTTCCACAGAATTCCTGAGGACACACAGTAGGAAGATATTTATAAAAAATGGTCTTGGTCCATGGAAACAGGACCACAGTGAGGAGAACCTCCCTCCATAAGTCTCAGAGGTCAGAAGAGCACACTGAAGCTTGGCGTTGAGGGACAGGATGTGTACCATTGGGAAAGTGATTCTTTTAAATATTTTCCTAATAACAGCTTATTGTTTTCTCCTGAGCCAGGGGTTCCCCCAAGGCCACAAACCCTTCAGGATATCAAAAGTTTATGCTGCCAAATTAAATGGCTTTAGAGTAATAAAGGACACTTTTTAAAAGTTCCCATACACTGTACTCTCCCAATAACTTCCATGTGCAAGCATGTCTGTGTGATTTGAGAAGGAGGGCCGGTGATCTCAGATCCAGTATTGTTCTTCATGTAGCCATAAAGTCAGCCAAGGAGAAAAACTTAAGTCAATTTGGAATCAAATGACCATGTTTGGGAGCCAGGAGATGCTCCAGGATGGTCTTATCCAGTGTCTTAGATCACTGGGTCTTACTGCCAACTCTGTATCTAGATCACTGGCCTGCCATCTCAAATCATACAGTTTGTTTGTAACTTGGTCTCACGAGGCCCCAAGTTCTTTATCTACTAGGTGAGAAGATCCATCTAAATTTGAGGCTTTTAATTCTCCTCTTCCTCCTTCTCCTCCTCTTCCTCCTTATGGTGGTGGAAACAAAATCCAGAACCTTAGACATGGTAGGCATGCACTCTATTACTGAACCCCCTTCTTCTTCAAGGAAAAAAAAAAAGGCTTAAAGTCCTTCCTTCAATAAGATATGACCAGATAAAATACCTGAAAGTGGAGCTGCTGCAAGTGAAATAAAGCTAGGTGCTGGGGGTCCAGAAGCCTGGTCCCTTTCTCCCTCCTCATCTATTCACCACTCGAGGGACCTCCCAGAGCATAGTGTGAAGACCAGTGAGACAGGGTCCCCTTGGTTCTGTTGTGAGCCACCCCATCCTCAGGCTTCTACATTTACGAAAACTCGACATCTCTACAAGTGTGCCCCTTGGCCAGTCACACGGAAGCGTAGACAGGGCTGCAGCCCATTACATGGTGGCAGGCCCCAGGGAGGGAAAGGGCACTGGCTCCAGCACTGGTCAGCTGTGACTCTGCCCACATGACTGCTGCACCTCCCAGCCTGGAGCAGTGAGCCCCAGTGATCTGAGATTCAGTGGACATGACTTCATAGACTGCATGAAGTTGACTGAAATATTCACTCTTCTAAAATAAACACGCTGTACTTTCGTAAGCATAACTGTCTCCAGAAGATAGCAGGATCTACAACAGTAGCACTGAAGCCTGAAAACAGAACAGGCCCTTGCTGGGCACCAGGGAGACGCACACATCCTATCAATTGCATGAAGAAGACCAAGAAACATTATTAAAATTAATCATGTTTAAAAATCAATTTGCACACCAATAAGGTACTAATACCATATTGCTAAACTGTCATTTTGAAATGGATTAAATGTACCAGCATGACATGATTAAAACTATAAAATGTCTTTTGAAAAGGATGAAAATTTTCAACAAAAGTCAAGAAAAAATGAGATATTCTTGAAGCAGATATCAATAAAGAAAACTCTACTAGTTTATTAAACTAGAATCTTTAATCATAGCTGTCACACAGGTTCTTGCTCAAGGCACCCCGTCCTGTCTTGGCTAAGCAGTGTGACAGAGCCCAGGGCCAGCTGGCGGGACCTACCTCAGCACCACCACGATGGGGCTCTCACTGCCCGTGAGGACGATCAAGCCTTTCCATATCATGAGTGCAGAAGACACAATCATGGCAAAGTTTAAAACCTGGTAGTAGAGCTGGAACGAGAAAAGCCAAGCTCAAAGTGAAACCAATGGCAGAATATTCATCAACCCAAAGCTGGAGACCCACTTATGAAATAAAACAAAAAAGATGTGATTTTACAACATGGAACTAATTTAAACAAGGTAGGAAATCAGGTGGCATTCCAACTTTCACCCATGAAATAAGTCCTTCAAATAGAGTCTCTCCTTCAGTGAGAAAAAAGGAAGCAAATCAGAGCTATTCATACTGAGGGCTAGCTTTTTTCAAGCCCCCATGAGGCTCTGCTAACCACTCTCAAACCCCTCAGGGAACTTGCTATACAATTCCACCACCAGGGCCTCCAGCTCTAGACTAGCCACAGGCCACAGTTCTCCGAAAAAAAGCATGTGCCTAATCCTCAGAGGCTTTGTGAATCCACCCAGAACTACCCTTCAGTAGCACAGCCAAAGATAGCCTCAAGTGAAAGGGTCACGGTACTTGGCAATGAGGCCTCTGCACCTGAAAATTACCTGTTGAAAGGAACAGAACCTTTAAATATCCAGATGTTAAATTTTCCGGAAGCATCTAAAAAGGTGAACAGCAAATATTTGGTTGAAACACCCACAAGGTGGGATGATGGAAATCAGTATGGAGATTCCTCAAAAGAGTAGGAAGGCAACATGACCCAGGTCTACCACCCCTTGGTATCTATCCTGAAGAATTAAAGCCAGCAGAGTACAGCAATACACGCATGCCTATGTTCACAACAGCCAAACTATGGAACCAGCCTAGGTGTCCATCAACGGATGAATAGATACAAAAAATGTGGCATATATACACAATGGAGTTTTATTCAGCCATAAAGAAAAATGAAGTTATGTCATTTGCAGGAAAATGAATGGAATTTGAGAACATTATATTAAGTGAAATAATCCAAACTCAGAAGGTCAATGGTTGTATGTTTTCCCTCATATGCAGAAGCTGGAGAGGAAAAAGGAAAAGAAAGATGTGTGTGGGGGGGTCTCATGAAAATCAAAGGGAGATTAGTAGAGTAGAGGAAAGGAACCAGGAGGAGGGAGGAGCAGAAGGAAAGGGGAGATACTGGGGAATGCTGTTGGACAATGTTATATCATGGGATGCATGAATATGTAACGATGAGTCCTACCAATATGTATAATTTAATGCATCAATAAAAATATTTTTAAAAACACAGGTGAGGAAGTCACACAAGTCAATATATAATGGCCAGTTGTCAGCTAGGAGAATGATGTGTTAAGCTGCCCTTGGCCCACTTCAGACCACTTCTGAGCTTGACAACCCACACATCTCACTCTTGCTCCCTCCCTGCTCCACAAATGCTAAAACACAGGTGTTTCTCAAGACTGCTGCCTGCCACACCTCTTGGGGACTAAGGGGCAAAGCAACACTTGCACACAGCCCAACTCCCTTTGAAAACTGCAGCAGTATTGTCAGACAAATGCTTATCATCCTTCAAGATGCTAAGTGACTAAGTCCTTTGTACCTAGTACTACCCAAAGGGTAAGCTCCAGAGGGCCTGGCCTTCCCCGCCCACGGGAAGGCGTCTGACTTTGTAGCTGCTTCAGTCTTCCCACTACCAACTCCTGTGTGTGTCGCAGTGATTTGCAGAGCCATGTGGATCCAACTCAATCCCAGACCTCCTCATCTTCAGCGACCTTCTTCCCCCCAACCCCGCTGGACCATCCACATGTGTAGCAACACACCTATAATGGCATCTGCTCCAAACAGATACCTCTCAATGATCCCTCCCACCTGGCTGCATAGGCCTACTCTCCTGGCACCTGGGCTCACCTACATGTTAGTTCTCTGGTTCTTTCAGGACCTCCATCCCTCACGTGTGCTTTCTATAATTGGCATACAGCATGCAAGCCGCTCAGGTACAGTGTCCACCTTCCATCAAGCCTGGAAGCCCTTACTCCAAAGGCTTCTGTTCATCCCTCCAGCGAGTGAACTTCTAGACCCTCATCTGGGAGGAGACCTTGGAGTAGAATGGGGAGGACAGTTAGGGGGTCTCACGCTTCTGTTTTTCTAATTTACTTCAGCCCTCCCATCCCCTTTGCCCTCAGCTTCAGAGACATCTGCTGCCATCAATTCTTGAGTCTATGAGGGTTCTGCCACACAAAAAGTGAAGCACTGTTCCTCATTCTCCCCCAGGGCCACACAGGATTTTGGCTTTCTCAGGCAATGTTGGTTACCATTCCTCCATGTATTCTGCAGCTTCTAGTATCTGGCTGATCTTCTTTCCTTGCCTGGCCTCCTTATCTTGGAATAGCTGATGACTTCCAAAATCATCTTACTGTAGTTCTAGTGGTGCTTCAGGGGAACTGAAACTAGATCAGTCAGATCCCCATCTTACCTACACATCAGCTCTCCAGGACATCCTTTAAAACTGGGTTTGGAACTAGGACCCAATCACGTTCTGAACATTGTTTCCTCAAATACCCAAATTTAAAATCAACTGAAACAGAATGTGGGGTATGGGCTCTTTTTGAGGATTGAATGTTGTTTAAGAATAAATTCTGGCATTCTATTGCAAAGTAGTGTGTACGGTATATTTAAAAATAACCAGAGAGAAGATTTTGAATGTTTTACTACGAAGAAATGATAAAGATTTAAGGTGACAGATATGTACTTACCCTTATTTGATCATTACACAATCTACATATGTATTAAAACATCACATTGCACTCCATAAATCTGTATGATTATGTATCAATTAAAAAATTAAACTACAATTTTAAACATAGTTTAAATGGTTTAAAATACAGTTTTAAAAATGCACAGGACTGGGTAAATGTGGCTAAAGACACTCAGGAAGAGCTACTAAGGAAGTGCCATGTCATTTTTTTTCTGGATGTGTAGACCTCCCTTTACAGCAGGGGCTCTCAAACATCAGCATGTACAAGAATCATCTGGAGGCCTGATGACTGCATTTCCAACAAGCTCCAGGTGATGCTGAAGCTGTTTGTCTGGGACCACGGCTCTATACCATTGGTTCTCAACCTTGGCTGTACTCTAGATTCAAGTGGGAAGCCTTTCAAAAGTAGGATATCTGGCCTTCATCCCAGACCAAGTGAATCAGTGATGGGGAAAGGGAACATCCATGTTTCATAAACAGCCTATCCAGTGATTCTGATGCATAGCAAAGGCAGAGCCAATGCTCCTGCCCATCAGCTTAAGTTGCTCCATCTTGAACCCTTTCTCTACTTCATATCCCCCTTCACCTTTAACACTCTTCTCTTTCACAGCCAAACTTCTCAAAAGAGCACCAAACCCAGGCAGAAATCTGAGAGTCCACTCTTTGAACACTTTCTTCTCTGTCTTCCTGCCCGTTCTTCCACTTCCATCTGAACCTCCAAATGAGGCCCTAGTACCATCACACTACCGACTCCCAATACTGAGATTCCCAGCCACCTCCCTGACACTTGCATGTCTTTAAAGGTAGCTGAAACTCTACATGTCAGAACTGAATTTTCCTTTTCCAGAAAAACTTGCACGTCCAGTGCTGTCCAGCTCAATAAGTGGCATTGCCACCTAGTTGTTTGGAGACACTCCCTTCCCATCCACTCTCTGCAGTTTACCTTCTAGACATTTCCAGAATGAGTACAGTTCTCTCTATTCCCACTGCCACCATTCTCATCTAAGCCAAAAACAGAGCCCATGGAGCCCCTGCAAGAGCCTACCATGGGTCTCCAGAGATCCACACATCTCTCCCAATCTATCCTACGCTTAGTACTTTTTTTCACATGTATGTCTGGTCATCTGGTCACATCAATGCTCCGCTTAAATCTTTTCAATTGCCTACCACAGCTCAAAGGATTAAGACCAAACCTCAATTTAAGCACAAAGGTTCTGTGTGACAGAGCTGGGAAGTACCCCTATTGTTCACCTTCAACTCGGGAAGCTCACGATGCCCAGATGAACTTGTTGTATTTGTCAATGCTCCAAAAAGCATGTGCTTCTTCCCAATTCAGGCTCTTTACTCAGCTCCTTCCTCTGCCCAGAAGGCTCTCGCCCTGGACCCCATGGCACTCATTCATCTTTAAGTCCCACTGTAAACACCAGTGTCCATGAGAGGCCTTCCCTTATCTGCCAGACCAGGAGTCAGTAAACTTTGTGTAAAGGGCCAGACAATAAATATTTGGGGTTTACAGGCCACGTGATATCAACCAAAACCACTTAACTCTGCCACTGTAGCCAGAAAATACCCAGAGACAATATATAAAAGAACGAACATGATTATGTTCCACATGACAACTTTATTTATAAAAACAGGAAGACCACTAGAGTTAGCCAATCTTTACTGTAGGTCAGCCTAGGTCTTCGTATTACATATTCTCACTGCATCCTGTACCTCCCATATTCAACACAGTTCTGGCAAAAAAATAAGTGCCAAAATTGTTGAATAAATAATGATAAAATAAAACATCTTTGATACATGGTGAATGCAAATGAACCATTAGTAAGAAAAACACCATGGGGCTGGGGATATAGCTCAGTTGGTAGAGTGCCTGCTTTGCATGCACAAGGCCCTGGGTTCAATCCCCAGCACCCCATGAAAATAAATAAATAAAATAAAGGTATTGTATCCATCTACAACAAGAAATACTTAAAAAAAAAAAAAAAACAACACACCAAAATCCCAACAGAAAGAGGTAACAACGTAAAACTGTACTTTTCCAAAGAGGAAACACAAATGGCAAATAAACATTTACAATGTTCAAACCAAAAATCCTGCCTGTTTCCCCCTCCCACCCAACCCTCACCCCAGCAAATTTAAAGTTTTTATTTTTTTAATTGTTTTTTAAAGCTAAGACTCAGTGTGGTGGGGATGCAAGTCGTTTTAACCATTCTGAAAGCAATCTGGCACTAGTATCAGGAAGTTACTCTTGACCAGGTAATCCCACTTCTGGGAATTCCATCCAAAAAGCAGAGAGGGAAGTATGACCCGAAGATGTTTATCACAGCCAACTAGCTAACTTGTTTGCTTTCTCTGCCTTATTTCTGATAATGTGGAAAAGGAAATAAATTACCAACATCAGGAAAATAATTGAGTAGAGAAATGGCAGATTACTCTTCTAAATAATGCATAAATAACTTCAATGACTTGATCAAACACTTAAAGAATGTTCAGAAAAAAATGTAGGCTGCAGTAGAATCTCAACAAACCATAAACAAACACAAGGAAATGCTACATGACGCTACCAGAGGCAATCTTAGGATGATAGAATTATGAGTCATTGAATTTTCTTCTTTAAACTATTCCCTATTGTTTAAAATTCCTATACGGGCAGGGATTAAGTCCAAAACCTAAGGGGGGAAACGTGTTAAAAGGAAGTGCTATTTGAAAGAAATTAAAATAATCACTTTGAAGAGTGCGGCAAACACTAAAACATATTCTGATGTGATGTAAAGTAGGGAAAGCAAAGCTTGAAATTGCCTTTTGCCAATATTACAACTGTGAAATATGTAATTTGAGATAGTTATGAAGGATACAACTGAAAGTGGAGACATAAAATGCAAACTGAAACAACTGTTAAGGTATTTGGGTGCAATAAATGAAAACAGGAAAGTAAATATAATCCAATACAAAACTACACCATTTTAAACTACTTGGCTACTATGTCAACAGTAAATTATGAAACTATCACTGTATTTCCAGGAGAACAAAAAATGGAAACTGAAGTGCTAAGCGGACACTGTTAAACCACTGCTTTTTAAAGTCAAATCAGCCTTGCAAGTCACATCTGTCTAAAGCAGAAGTTGTCATTGGAGTTCACATTCAAAACCTTTCCCACCTGCTGTGCTTGACTTAAAGGACTTGATAAACAATTGTTCTTTCATTATGAATTACAGGTCTGATTAGGAAAGCCCCAAACCATGGTTTTAAACATTTTAGACAGGTTTTTCAAACCATCAGGCTCCACCTTGATACAAGAAAATTATAAATTCTTGCCACTTGTCTAATAAAGAACTTGTTCTAAGAACATATTTTCTAGTATCGTTGTCCATGCTTGAAATTCTTTGAGAGAAAATAAAATCAATTCTTCAATAATAGTTCCTTTGAACTAGGCATCTATCTGCCAAGAAAATGATCAGTAGAAAATGGCATACATAAAAACATAATAATCAAACTAAGTACAAAACCACAAATCACAATTCCAACATCCTACTTTTAACATATGAATCTGAGTGTAGGTTTGACATCCTGGAATCTAGAAACAAAATTCTGACCAAACTACTGACAAACTGAATGAGTTAGAAAACATACACCGCCACATTTTTGTTTGTGTTCCTCTTTGGCTACCAAATTTGTATGCTTAGCACTTAACAACTCTAGCAGAGTTTAGAAGTAAGCCCACACTGAGTGGTTGCCAACCAAAGATGAAGTAGTCACTTTATACGAGTTTTAAAAAAACATTTCAGACCAGATATTCTGGCTACAGAGCAGCAGAAATGCCAGTAGCTGTATTTCTTTCTCTCTTCCTCACTGCAGAAACAAAGAGCCCTTGTTTTGCATGTGGCTCTTGCCTTAATTAATAGTAAGCAGGGGCAGCAGAGAAAGGAGGTCCCGCTTCCAACATTGGCAAAGCATGCAGGCCTGACAAGGTGTCACAAGGATGCCAATTTGAAAGGAAAAAAGAAACAAAGAAACAAGCAAAAAAAAAAAAAAGATAAACTTTAAAACAAAAAGTACCACAAGGCAGTATATTTCAGCTTCTACATTTGAATTAGAAGATTAATAAAATAAGCAATGCAACTAGCTTCTGACAGGCCCATCCCTGAAGAGTGGGAACACCCAGGGCTTCCAAAGGGCAAACTGGGTTAGGGATTGATACACTCACTGGAAGGCTTTCTCTAATAGTCCGCAATTATAGCCATAAGTAATCAGCACCAGTTTAAGAAACATTTTTAAAAATCTAGCCAATAATCTGGATTTTAAAATACAGCTCTGTTTCCTGGAGAATCTTTCTGCAAACAGCATCAATGCTCAGATCATTAGCTTTTGGTGTTTCAAGCTAGTAGTATACTCTACAATTTCTCTTAATCACGGAAACCACAGGAGCTCATCAGCTATGCATACCTAGATACAATCAGATCCTAAACAGTTTTGAAATCCAAGTCATCAAACTCTCCCACATTGCTACTCTGGTCTGAAATTCTACAGAAAAAAAAAAAGCGCCCAAAGGAATAAGCTGTGCCTTGCCACAGGCATCATTTTGCATCCTCATATAACAATAAATGAAACTGGATCAAAATCATGAGCATTAATACCATTTTCAAAGACAATCAAAACCCCCTAGCAAAGGTTTCAGTATCTATCATGATACGGAGCGCAACAGGTCCTCCAAATTCTCTATCTAGACGCTTAAGTAATACATTTTTCCTGGCTGAGAGGGCTTCCAGTCCCTTCTCATTCTTGCCATACGTTGAAGGGACAAGGACCCAAAGACAGTGATGATGGCCAAGAACTGGCTAAGGAGAGCAGTTTTCCTCTGAGGTCCTATCACGAAGGAATCAGAAATCAATTTCAGCTAACCAAAGACCCCCCAGGTAACTGCCTCCCATATTCATGGTGCTGACAGCATGATTCAATCTGAGAGGAAAGTTAGAGAAGACGTCTGGAATTCCCTTTGGAATACTGCTCGGTCCACAATGACTGAGCAGCACCTATGAGATCACTAGGCACGGAAAAACCTGCCCCGGCAGGGAAGAAACAGCTTTGGGAGGTATCACTGGACAGCTCCCATTGTCAAAAAGTTCTTCCCTTCTGCCTGCCTCTCTGCCACTTCCATGCGCGCGCAATCAGGCCTCTGGATGGCTACAAGGAAACGTGTTCCTCCTCACTGAGGGGCCCTTCAAATCTGCGCACAGACAGCTGTCACTCGCGCTCCAGTCATCTCTCCTCGCTTTCCCAGCGCATGTCATCCACTGCACTGGGCTTCTTCTATTCTCTTCCCCTTCCTGACCATCCTCCCCTCATTTGCTCTTATCAGTGCAAGAAAGCACACATTTGCCCACACGTGGATCTGGGAGGATTTGAACCCAGAGGCTCTGAAAGCTTCGGGTCGCTGTCACCCGCAACTGCCCTTGTGCAAACGCTACTCTCCAAACCCGGACACCCAGCTGCCGCAGCGCACCCCCTGCGAGCCCCCCGGGCATCGGTTACCTGACGCTTGTTCATCTTCCTCAGGTCCCCAAAGATGTCCAAGCCAGACGCGGGGAGGTGCGTCCCCACGGCGCCCGCGCGTACCATGGCAGGGTCTCTGGGGGCCAAAGCGGCCCGCCGACTCCGGTTGTCACAAACGGCTGCGGAGCACCGCAGGCCCCGCCCACCAGCCCCGCGTTCTTGCGGACCACGTGACCGGCTACATGCTTGGGCGTCTGGGAATCGTAGTCTCGCGAGTCTCGGTCACGGGTCCGCCCCGTACGAATCGAGAAGAGGAAAACTACTATGCCCAGAATGCCGCGGGCCGACAGCCTCGGCCAGTGAAGACCCTGGGCTCCCAGGGAGGGGAGCGACTGGGCTCGGGAGCCTTCACCGACCCTTCCGAGGGACTGTGGGGCAGTGGGTGAATCCGCATGTCTTAGGGGCAACTCGGGGAAGTGACTGCTCAAGAGAAACTGAATTCCCAAGACTCTGGTCAGGCGCCAAAAGGACACCTAAATATCCCTCGCAATTACCTAGCCGTGTATCTTGGCCATTGGATGACTACGACACGGGAAGGCGGAGCTTCTGCCTGGGGTCGGACAGTGCAGAATCGGGGTGGGGCCCAAAGTGGGCACGCCTGATGGGCGGGGCCTGAAGAGGCGGGGGTTTTGAAACTGCAGGGCTCCGTGCGCTGAAAGACTACCAGAGTAGGGTTTGAATGCAAAGGAGCATCTTTGAATCGTCATGACCAAAATGTTTAGAAACAGATATTAATTGAATGAATAAATAACCACCTAACTCTTACACACAAGGAGTCAGAGACCCAGAAAGGTTTAATGATATGGCCAAGTGGCAGAGTCCGAAATGGAAATCATATTATGAAATGACAAGTCCTACATTACCAAGTCCTAACTTTAGATTACCTTTGATTTATTCACTTACTCGCTTCTGCCTTATTTATTTTGTTCCTTTATTTATAAATCTTCATGGAGCTCCTAATATACACCTAGTTCAATTCTAACACTTGAGAAAAATCAGCAGAAAAATTAGCAAAAATCCTTCGCGTTTTATGAAGGCAAACATAATAAGATAAGCAGATTATAATAGTACCCGAAGGGTAGTGGTGGTGCTGTGGAAACAAACAAGCAGAGAGGCTGGATCCGGATCTCTGGAGGAAGGGAGCATGCTGCAATTTAAAATATGCCAGAACTTGACTTACCATGAAGCTAATAAAAGGTGAGCTTTTAGATGCTTCTTGCATAGATTCTTTCCTGGTAGAAATACAGCCAAAGAGCTTTGTAAAGTTTTCCAAAGAAAGGTACTCAGATTGCTGTTGATTAAGAGTTCTGGGGGTTTTGTTTGTTGGGTTTTGGTTTTTGTTTTGCATTCCAACTTTCTCTCCATCATACTTCTATGGGGGTGGGTGCAGTAAGCATTTGGGGATCAAATTAAGGAGAAGTTGAGTTGGAAATACACTTAGTGGATATATTTATGTGACTTATGGTCATTTCCTGTCATCCTAGTATAGAAATGGCTTTAGAAATACTGTCACCCATTGTGCCACCTCATGACAGGAAGTTGCACTAGAGGTGGCATCTGATATGAGGCTATCCTACAACCCCTGGCCTCAGAAGTAGGAGAGGAGAAACAAGGTTTGAAATGTACAGATCCAGAAACTTAGCTGTGTTGCTGAGGGACAGAAAGTGGAGCATCTATGCCTAGCCCCACCCTGGTGCAGTGTTTTCCTCTCTGGGGAAAAGGTGAAAGATGAGATGCTTACCTCTAAACAACTACCATGAGTAAAGAGACTCAACACTTGGCAGGTCTTTTTGTAATCTGGAGGAGATATATATATATATATATATATATATCTTTGAGTGTATATTTTAATCTATCTACAAGTGACCCCTGAGGCTGCCAGTTTTAAGAGGTAACATAAACCAGGCATGCCTCCAGGGACATGGGAGGCTGAGACAGGAGGATTGAAAGTTGCCAGCCTCGTCTTAGCTAATTAAGGAGACCCTGTCTCAAAAATTAAAAGGGGTGGAGCTGTAGCTCAATGATAAAGTGCCCCCTGGGTTCAACTCTAATACCAAAAAAAAAAAAAGAAAAGAAAAGAGGCAACCATAACAAGAAAAGGCTCTGCAGCAAATCCAGCTCCTGTGCATTTAGATCTCATGATCCAACTGATGCAATAGTAACTCAAAGTGTTGTTGATAAATATGACAGATGTATCAAAACTCTAGCAAAAGAGGAACAGGACAGATTTTTAGGATAGTAAAGGAATTTGTGCCCTCTCCATAAATGACTATACTCTTTTTGAGAAACAGCTTCTATATTGCCATTGGTCCTTGGGAGAGCCTGAATGCCCAGCAGTGGGATCTCAGTAGACCATACAGCCCAAGCTTCCTATCAGGTACTAAGTGTTTTATGCCCCATCTAGCCATTAGGATGAATGGATGGATGAATGGAAGGATGGACAGATGAATGGGGCAGGAATTTATTTCCAAATGAAAATGGTACATAAGAAACCACTCTCAGGCAGATCCAGAGGAATGAGTAACTTGAGTAAGCAGGTGTCTCCAGCTCCTGCAGCCTAGTGCATTGCCTCCTCTGCCTTCTCTCCCCTCTTGAGGATTACCTCATGTGCAGTTAACTAAGAAAGCAAAAACTCAAGTCTCATTTATAATTGGGTCTATATGATACGCCAGTTCTCCCAGAAAGTGAGTATTATGTAACACAACAGCCCCACAGAGGTGATCCTAAAGGACACCCAAAAGGAAAATCTTCCCAGTGGACAGAACTGCAAGTAGAACACTAGATTGAAATATGGCCAGAAGTCTGGATCTACAGTAATTTGTGGAATTTTGTCAATGATTTGACTGGGTCACTCTAGATGGGGAAGGAGCACGATTGGAATTTGGTGATGAGGATGTCTTTTTGAAAAAGTATGTGGCTAGCTAGACCTCTCAGAATGGGTACAGCCATGAAGACGGTGATATCCCAACTGAATTCCTACATCTCCTTTAAAGGAGGCTCTTAATAACCAGGTAGGCAGAATTACATTATCCATGAATATCAGTTAGACTCTTTGGTCATTCCAACACTTGCTCAATATTCCCATAACTTAAGTAGGCTTAGTGCAAAGACAGAAGTTTTACATGGGCCAACAACATGGACTTTCCTTCCCTAAGGCTGATCTGAATAATGATTACTGATTGCCCACTGTGAAAATAGTAAGACCAACATTGAGCCCCAATATGACATAATTCCTTGGTCAGAGCAGCCAGTTGTCTAGTCCCAGATTGGTTACATTCGTTATCTTCCACCATGCAAAGGGCAGGGAATTGCACTCACTGATATAGATACATCTGTACCTATGGACATGCCTTCCTTGTCGCTAATGCTTCTGCCAGCATCATCATTTATGGCTTCTGCCAGCATCATCATTTATGGCTTCTGCCAGCATCATCATTTATGAACTCACAACATGACTCACTCACCATCATGGCATCTCATCAAGGAACTCTTTTCATAGCAAAGAAACATACAGAAATTGGCATGTGGCTAAGAATAATATGTTTTTACTACATACGTTCTTGTCCATGAACAGCTGGATTGATTGAACAGAAGACTGGCTTTACTGAAGACTTGATAGTGGCACTAATTGGAGACGATACTTTGAAACATTTCCATTTTTTCTTCTGGGATGCAGCATATGCTTTGAATTGATGACCATTCTATAGTGCTCTCTCCATAGCCAGACCATACAGGGCCCAGAAATCAAGGGGTGGGAGTGAAAATGGTTCTTCTCACTATTATACCAAATCAACCATTCTCAATGGTTTAGCTTCCCATCTTGGCAACTTTAAGCTCTGCTAGTTTGGAGGTCTTAAATCCTCAAAAAGGAATGCTCTCACCTGGAAACACAGCAACGAATCCATCAAATTGGCAGAAGAAATAGCCCCCTGATCCCTTGTGAGTCCTTTTACCACTGAACTAGAGAGTATTAAAAAATGACTGATATAATTGATCCTGATTGCCAAGAGAAAATTGGATTATTGCTACATAATGTGGCCAAGGGTGATTATATCTGGAATCTAGTCGATCTTCTGGGATACATTTTAATTTGTCCATGATCAATAGAAATTGTTAATAGAAAACTACAGCAACCCGAAAAAATACTATTGAGGACCTATACCCTTCAGCAATTAAGATGTTGTTCCTTTAGCAGATAATCCTGATTAGCCAAGGCCCGATTGGAAGTAAGGGAACTATATAGAATGAGTAGTGGAAGAAGAAAGTCATATCCTCTTGAGTTTGTGAGCAATTTTAGAAATGAGGATTATATTAGAGTTGCAAATTTTCATTTTTTTCTACTATACATACACCTTAATTTTTAATATATAACATTTTCTTCTCCTTCCTTCTTCCCATTACTAATTTACATGAAGTTGTTGGAAGTTAATTTCCCAATTTAGTCTTTAGGCAACAGAATATTCAGTGGAGCTGGGTCTGAATTTGAGAAATAATTAATAGAGCCAGTGAGGATACAATGACTGGGACTGTAAATGACCTCATTTTGGAGAAAGTGAGAACTTTGTTTTGCCTTTACAAATATTAGCTGTAGCTTGTTAGTTGGAAACATAGGGTATTTTTATTGTTTTCCAGAAGTTCAAGTGTGAGTAGAAGAATATAGATGAAGCAGAGTAGCTGAACCCCTTGCCAGTGATTAAAAATTATAGTAATTACAAATTACTGCCTCTCTGCAAATCTACCCTTCCTCACCCTGCTTTGTGATATGGAGCCGAACCCTGTAAACATTTCTCCTTTGCCTGCTGGCGCAATGCTAAACCATGCCAGTAGAGAGCGCTGGAGGGACACTGGAGGAAGGAGGGGTGCTGGTGTCGCTTTTCTCCTTGTCCCTGAGGGATGCAGATGCCAGTAGCATTGCAAGACTCAGCGCTGCTCACCCTCCAGCAGGTTGCAACTGGCACCTCAGAGACTAGCTCCCATTGAGTTTTATAAGACCTTAGCTGGCTTCTCAGTCAATCTCACTGGCTCCCCAGTGGGCAGGCTCCTCTTGCAACCTGTCACACCTCAGAGAACTTCTCCGCTACCCAGTGGGTGGCACCCTCACCCTCTAAATGGAAAACTCAGCCCTCAGGAGGCAGAGCCTCTCCC